CTCAACAAGCTTCGAGCCATGCGAGAAAAAGTTATTGCTCTCCCCAATATATCAGTTTAGTTTTATGTTTGCTTTAAAATCTCTTTCATTTACCTATATCGCTTCAAGTGTTCACTTAAAATAGGGATTTGGGTGAATATTTTATTGCAGAACTAATTAGTTTTTATTTTCATTTCTTCTTCGAAGCTTGCTTTTGACAAAGTATCTAGTAACTAATTTAGTTAATGCTTCACGCCCATACTTGTCTTTGCTACTCACGCTCTTAGTCAGAATACTTATCAGCCATCTGATGCCGATCTCTATTTCGTACCAAAAGAAGTATTACATAGTTATACATAAGCATATGTAGAAGAAGCTGTTGAATACAATAGCGCGCACCCAAATAGCGGATAGATAACAAAAAATAATTAAAACTTAATACAAGGTCTACAAAAGAAAATAGATGCTACAGCCAGGCTAGTTAGTTTGCAGCGGCTATTGCCCTTTTTCGTGCGGCGTTTATGGCCGCTGGCAATATTGGGGCAAACCCATCGCATTTTGCACAATTAACGTTCAAACCATTTCCAAACAGCGCAGCACAAACAGCGGTTCTCTAAACAGCCGGTGCGAGTAAAAAAAATATACAAGCTTGGAGAAAAATATTATTTGCAGTACTTTTGGACTTTATGAATACATTTGTGTGCTTTCTACGAGTACTTGGAAGAATTTTTTTATCTTTTTTATTCTCGCTTGCATTCGTATTTTTGATGGGAAATTTTTGGCAAAACTTGTTGCTGCGCCACTGGTATGCAATGCTCTATATTAAGCAGCTCGAGTTCTAAGACCGAGTTATCGCTTATATTTTTGTTCTGCTTTCATTTTTTAGCGTAGGCATTTTTTAATTAAATATTCGCGACGCCATTTCTGCAAGTCGACCTTGACCATAAGTAACTTAGTAGCAGCTTCACATAGCGCAAGTATAAATTAATTACTGTTTAAAATATTTTTAATGCTACTTTCGAAAAAAATTTCGAAATTTAAGTTGCTGAATCGGAGTTCACTTCTATTTTTCTTTTCGATGTGAGGAAACACTGTCAACGCCAATTAGTGTCCTCTAATGTAAAATAATTCAGTTTTTTTTTTTTAACCCTTACTGGTCGAATCATTTTTATAACACTATAGTACCTTGAATAAATACATACCAGTACATAATCAACTTATCAGAAATAAATAGTCAGAAGTCCGCAGAAAGGCTCGGCATCATGAAAACGCATTTAGGCTCCACGTTTTGTGTGAGAGTCTGCGCCTTCGTTGCCTTCAACAAACAATTCATATCCAAGCGTTTCGCTATTGTGAGCTCCCAGGTGGTTCAAAAGAGATTTACAGCTGTCCACAAGACTTGATGCCGTTCTAAATTAGTCTAAGGCCTTTAATGCTGCCTGACTATCCGATAAAAAATGTTTTCTGGTAAAATTTTACGGTGACATTAGCGAACACAGACTACGATTGCAAACTTCCGCCTGGAATATGGTTGGGTATGTGCCCATTGGCAGACTTTTCTGGAATCTTGGTCCAAATACGCCTGCCTGGACGTCAGATGAAAGAGATTGTGGTTTTGAAAATATTTTTCAGAAGGTTGCCACCTTGTTACAAAATTGAATTCAATATAAGCAATAGGTTAAATAAATTACTTCAGAGGGTTTCCACCTGTCTAAAAAGTTAAACTCAAACTATTTAATAAGCTAAATGATTTATTAAAGTATATGCATAAATTGTCATGGGTTAAAAATGTTTTTTTTTCTGAGCTTTGTTTAAGGTGGCTGCCATATATTTTAGAAATTTCATCAACTTGAATTAAGATAGACAATTTAAGTATGTATGGCAATATGTGTATCAGTTGAAAAAGGTTTAACTAGGTTTAGTTTTGAAGTATTTTGAATAGGGTTGCTACCTGTTTTAAAATTAGAATTTAATTAAAGTATGCATAAGTTAAATGAAATATAAAAATATGACCTGAAACGAAGGTGGTAAGACATCCTTAGTTTGAATATTTATAATACTAAAGAGGGTTGCCACCTGTTTAAAAAGGTAAACCCAAATTATTTAATAAGTTAAAGCAATTATTAAAAATATGGGTATCAAATGAAATGGGTTTAAAAAGGCTTTATTTCTGAACTGTATTTAAGAGAGTTGTATGAAGGTATCACAATATCAGACGCAAGAGATTTGTTTTATTTCTTAATTATATTTAGGAAGGTTGCCAGCTTTTTCAGAAGTCTTAGCTAACTTATGCACGAAGACGAAGATAAATGCGAAAACGAGCACGAACACGAAGAATACTAATACGGGGACCTAGGCTAATATAAAAAGTAATACAAATTTTTGCGGTATGAACGGAAATAAAAATGCATCGAAGTAATGATACACGTCATGGCATATGTATATCTATTTATATGGTACGTATGATCGAAGTTAATATGGATCTGCGTCTCTATTTCTAATTATTATTATTTTGCAATTCATATTGATTTATTAGATTCAATTCAATACAATCAAAACGAACATTTCATATACCGTTTTGAACTTGAATGTGAAACCATGAAAAAGTTTCACACAAAAGGATTTTAGATCACTTCATTTGTGAGACAACACTATGTACAAGTCGGAGGAGAAACTGAGCCACACAATTATTAAAAATTGTAAATATTTCTATAATATTAAACGTGGAAAATGTCAGGCACCGGAGATTATCTGATGCCATTTCCTAAATAGCTACATAATTTTTCTAAAAATGGTATAAGCCACACTCTAAAAAGTGCATGTAAAACTACTACTGAAAAGGGTTTATTTTTCAACCAGAATCTGTTCAAGTATACGCACAAGATGTTCAAGATTTGATTTTGAACATGAGTTGTTTAAAATATACACATGAAATGTTTAAAATTGCAAACATTTTGAAAGTAAAAATATATTTTTTAAAAATAATAAATACTAAGGGGTGCACGCAGGAATATATTTTTTGGGGGAAAGAGTGTATACTTCTAAATATATATAAATACTGAAAATTCGCTCTTTAAAATGCATTTATGCAAGTTTTATGTACAGAATGAAATAAAAAAAATAAACTTTTTAAAGTTTCATAAATTGCATTTTATTTACATAAAATTTACAAAGAACTCAGACATTTTCAACCGGCTTCAAAAAAGGGGAGGTTATAAATTCTTCGGAGTATTTTTACTTCTTTTATTTATTCCACCGCATAACTTTGCATTGCGTGAACCGATTTTTTTACCGGAATGATAGTACCTTAAAGGTCGTCCCGTAATTTGGTTTAGATCCGATCATTAAATCATGAAAACATTAACGGTTAAAGATGCACTCAATTTTCAAAAGTAATAAAAAATTTTACAAAAGAATTTTAATATAAATACATTAAATCTTCGAATGCTTATTAAGTACATATCAGTGGTAAACTTTTTTAGGCTGTAAAGTGTAAAAAGCAACAGTTAGTGAGCATGCACTGCATATTTTTAGGACAATGTTTTCATTCGCAGTTAAACTTTAAAGAGTTCTCAAGAAAAAAGAAAAATTCTTACAAAATGACGCACAAGAAATGGAAAACAAATTTTTTTTTTATCAAAATTTCTTAAATCATAATAAACTTAACCCCAAAACCCACCCTTTGTGTGCAGTACGTGACAAATTTGATATGTAAAAGTAAACAGACAGTGTTTAATTTTGCAAACACTAGGAGAGGAAACTGGTTACCTCTCTTTATATGAGTAAATTTAAATGAAAATTTTTTAGAGGAAATTTTAAACATTTTATGTGTAAACTATGAAAATGTGAACAAAAAATGTTTAAAACTCAAAAAAACATTGAAATTTGTTCTACGCCACACATATGATAAGTAAAAGTAAGCAAGCAATGTGTAAATTTGCACTCATTAAGAGAGGAAACTGGTTACCTATCTTAATATGCGCAAATTTAAACAAACATTTTTTAGAGTGTAGGCAAACATTTTTAATGCCTAATTTAAACATTCATTCAGGAGAATTTAATTCCCTACCACGTTTTACTGATGTCCATTAGCATCGCAAAAATGACAACAATGTAGCTACCAAAAGTAACATAAAATAATTAAATTTTCAGTTTTTGGTGTATACATATCATCGTTTAAAATACAAAACCGCGTATCACCAAATTGCAAAACCGCGTATATGAGATTGCATAAACTATTTTCTAGGGAGCAAAAACACTCATATTTCAAAATGGTTCTCTTTTTTATAAAGCAATCGTATTTCTGGTTAGTATATTTCAGAACGAATCGATAACGATTGAGCCAAGAGCTTGTGTGAGCAAATCCAATTTTTGGCAAATGTCAGTTACGCGGTTTTGCAGAATGACGATACGCGGTTTCGTACTTTAAACGACGATATGTACATAAGTGTGTAGTTTAGTATTACAATTTTTTAACTTCCATTTTTCTGCCGAAATTAAAATTAATTATATTGTCACCACCGATTAAGTTTGTTTACCTAAATAAATGAGATTTGGGAACTGAATTAATTGTTTTATACAACCTGTTTGTGAATTTTGTGGGTAAATTTGTGATGTATTAAGGTAAGATTTGGCATAAGCTAATGGAGAAGAAAGCGTTATTCACCTGTTTATTAGTGTATACACATATGTACACACATATGTATCAACCATTTATTAAAATTATTTATTTTGTTAGCCTAATTAAATTTTTAAGATATATGACCCAACAAGCATTTCAATAATTGTTTTTAAAAATACATTAAAGTAATTTTGCCATAATAAGCGTTAAATAAGCGTTTTTGGTAATAAGTTTATTTAAAGTTTTTTCAAATAAACCTTTTATAAGAGCGAATGTTAACAAATCAATTAAACTTAAAAATTACATGCAAATGCCAACGACTTGAAGCTGAAAATATAATACTTTTTTAATTGTGAGTGACATGTTTATGTTCTTTAAAATATATATTAATTATAATTTTTTAACAAAAAAATACAATAAAGTCAATGCGGAAAACATAGGCAGAAATGTCTCGATTAAAAAGTGAAAAGGACAGTCTAGAGAAATTATAAATTTGCTTGTGAATAGTGAAGTCTGCGGAGAACAAATTAAATATAACGTTACTTCCAATCCAGGACCCGCTGCGCTAACAAACATTAAACATATAATAGTTAATTATTGTATCTTGTTGCGTGCAGCAGCTTTCAATTAAATGCGGTTATTGGCTAGTTGGAAAAACGACTTCGATGCAGCTATATATTCCACATCATCGCCGCCATTCTCATTGATGAAGGTTTCTGAAAAAAAAAAATTTATTAATACATTTTTAATTGAATGTAAAAGTAAGCAAGGATAAGGAAAACTCATCATTTCAGGGCTCGAATGTTTAGACTGTCTTTTTCACTTTTTAATCGCGACATTTTTGCCTATGTTTTCCGCATTGATTTTGTTTTATTTTTTATTTAAATAATTATAATTAAAATATAGTTTAAAGAATGTAAACATGTCACTTACAATTGAAAAAATGTTATTTTTACAGCTTCAAGTTGTTGGCATTTGCATTTCATTTTTAAGTTTAAGTGATTTATAAACATTCGCTCTCAACACTTATTAAAGATTTATTTGAAAAAAAAATTAAATAAACTTAATATTAAAAACGCTTATTTATCGCTTATTATGGCAAACTTACTTAAGTTATTTTTGAAAACATTTACTGAAATGCTTGTTGGACATGTATGCGTCTATGTATGTATGTACCCAAGAGCTTTGAAATACATAAAAGAATTTTTGCTAACGTTTATGTTTAGAATGCAAAATAGGAGAAAAGTGGGTAAATATATGTACATCAAATCAATACCGACTTGTATGAAATTGATAAACACATAAAGCTATATATGAACTTTCATTCGTAAATATCTCAAGCACAACAGGTATTTCCGCTGAGCAATACATCGACACACTTCGATTGATTTATGGTCGTTTGTTTGACTATTTCTTTTTATTTAATAAATTGAAATTCCGAAAGACTGCAAAATAATTTTAAATTTTTTTTGTGAATGCTTTATGATGTTTCTAATTTTTTGTTCATTCAGGTTACATGCATTGCATGTATGTTCATGTACATACATATATACAGATAACTGTTGAACTTTTAATTCATTTTATACATGAATAGGTGCATATACATATGTATATGTATGTAGAACAACTCCTGCTCGTTCATTATTTTCTGAATTGATTTCCACAGGGTACAACTGACTTTTCGCACGTCGTCACTAATTGCCAATAAAACAATTTATGCAAGGCACATCATACAACTGAATAACAGTGATGACTCGAAATACGAATGCACTTATAATTGATAATTTCCGAGGAGCCCAAAAAGTTTGTTTCGGAGAGGCTTGTAAAGCCGCGAAATGATTAAATTGATATGTATATATGGGTGTATGTTTATAAGAAAGAAATATGTACTTCAATTTAATATTTAATTCTTTTATTATTATTTTTTATAATAGGATCCCACTGGTAAAATAGGTAAGCACCTTACGAGGTATGCCATGTTTTCTTTCAGTTTTTAGTACTAAAATTGTCATCATGGCCAACGTAATCTACTAGTAAAGCACAAAATGAACACCTCCGACGACGCAACACGTTCTCAGTTGCAAAATAACGTGCCGCCGAAGTTATTTCCAAGCGCCGAACCTCTCCTAGCGACTGCTCTACATTCTACGTAACCTACTTTGTAAAGCGGCTCAGAATAATGTCTGATATCAAATGTGCATTCTAAATTCCTACTTACAAAAAGCGGCCACGCCTTTGTTAAAGTAAGAGAGATTCGGCAGGGAAGTGGTAAGGACCGCCGGGTGAAGTGCAATACCTTAACAGCAACTTACACTTTACCCGGCGGTCCTTACCACTTAACTGACGAATTTCCCTCACTTTAACAAAGGAGTGGCCGCCTTCTGTAAATAGGAGTTTATAATGTACATTTGGTATCAGGCATACTTCTGAGCCGCTTTTCAAAGTAAGTTACGTAGAATGTAGAGCAGCCTCTCGGAGTAGTTCGGCGCTCGGAAATAACTTCGGCGGCACGTTATTTTGCAACTGACAACGTAATTTGTCATCAGAGGTGTTCATTTTGTGCTTTACTAGTAGATTACGTTGGTCATGATGACAATTTTGGTACTTAAAACTGAAAGAAAACATGGCTTACCTCGTAAGGTGCTTACCTATTTTCCCAGTGGGATAGTTCTGCTCGTTTTGCAGCCAGAAGTTAACTTCGAAGGCAATTAAATTCGGCTGCTAACTTTTAAATATTTGTCAGCTAATTATTATTATTTTTTTAATGTAATAGTGTAAGGACCGTAGGTAGGTCAAGTAGGTTTTGGATTTGATCTGCCCTTTTCTGTTCTAAAAAAAATTGTTTGAAGGGCAGATACATTTTAAAAGCTACCTGAGAAAACGGCACTAAGTAGGAAAATTGAAATATTAGATAAGAGTACAATATACTTCTATTCGAAAATGCATAAAAGCAAATCATCACAACAGCACTCCTTTATTTCGGATCTATAATTGATGGAGACGTTCAGTAACCCAACCGCGTTCAAATGCCGATTTGGCACTTACGTTGTGCAAATTGAGCATTTCCCTCAATTATAGTTTGCAATTAAAAGAGGCTGATGTTTTGCTTTGATGAATTTCGGACCAGGGTTATTTTAGTAAATATTTTTCAACGTCCAATTTCTGTAAGATTTTATATTGCTACTTAAACTTCATATCATATTTGCTAATTTCTTAAATACTAGATATTTGGTTTTACTTTTATTCCAACTCAAAAGGTTCAATGAAATTCTTGATCTTCTTCACACTTCGCTCCGCTGGTCGCAATGCTAGATGCTTGCCAAAAATGGTAAATTCCATATTCCCAAAATGCATACCAAAAACGCATTCAGTCTTCGGCACCGATCGTATACGGTGATCCTTGCCCAAGAGCTTTAGCATATTTTTCGTATCCAAGACTACAATGCCCGTCAACCCCACAAGTGTTGCGCACTTCGATTCTACCACACGCAATATAGCGCCATGCAGATCTGTTTTTACCAACAATTTACTGAATGCATCGTAACCTGGCTCGTGCACGGCTGGAACCGTGTCACCCTCACGTAGTCCCAAGTGTTCACGCATGTAACCTTTCCAAAGTCTATGTAGCGGTAAAGCTTCTTCATACAGCATTTGTCGTGTTGGCAAAGTGTGTAGCCCTAGGCTGGCGTATTCGCGGCGCGTAAGCGTGGAGCTCTTTCCTTTGACACGCTTCCGGCTGAGCTGTTTTTTGCTTTTACTTCCGGTTAGCATGGTGATGTGTTCGGGATTAATGTTCATGTTGGCACGCTGTGTCGGCACTACCATGTCAGTGAGCAACTCCTGTAGCGGTGCCATAGAATTGTCCATTTTTAATCGATGTTTGTTTAATCCAGGATAACAAAAACTCTTCAAGTCCAATAAAAGTCGTTTGGATGAACAAAAGAAAAATATGTGAAAAACAGCTGTTCTATTTGTTTATGAATACGGTATTGCCAGTTGAGATTTGCTCAACCGGTGAGATGCCCAATCGTGAGGTTAACTTTTCTTTTACAGCCTTAAGCTGCCTTTACATGAGGCGATTTTTTGACAACGCTCATCGCCAATAAAAATTGCTGTCTATTTTGAGACATGCGATTTTTGATTCACCATTTACACCAGCGATTTTTCTTGATCAATATTGAATTGGCTAGAAAATCGCCACATGTAAATTAGGCTAGTATCTCAGTAGTTATGGTCAAGCTAAACTAACGGAAGACCCAAGAAGGTTGCAGCCTATGCTGGTTGCTGCTGTTCTTTCTACTTGTATGACACTTTGGCGTTAACGCTAGGCTGAAGAAAATGCTCCGGTCAACGCTCGTGTGTAGGTATGCCGGTTTGGGTATACATAGCTAGCGATGGTACTCATTGGTGTTTGAAGACGTTAGCATAGTGCTCCAAATTTAGGGTCGGCAGATAAACACGCCAAATCGTTGATAGTTCCTCTCAGTTCTATTTTCGGTTCTGCTTGCCATCTATCATTTTGTGTCTCCTTTATTTCTTGCTGTCTTCAATTAAAACTAATTGATTAAGTATAAGGATTTCTGAAATTGCGATTTAGGGACCACTGTATGACTCGCTGGCGTTAACGCAGGTCCAACGTAACGCCCACCGTTTTTACTTAATTGTGGTTGTTATTTATATTTTTACACAGAAAAACAGGTGGCAATCAAAGTAAGAATGGCGTTTCGACTGTCAATTTTCTATAGGGCGTTGGGCGTTGTTGAATTGTTTCATTTTTGTTTTCTTTTCTGACAGAATTATAATTTTTAATTCCTAGTTATTTACAAGTTTAAAAACATTTGTTTTTTGTGGAGCAATACTTAGAATGTCAGTTTATACACTGATCGTTTTAGCACTTCTAGCCGTGCGTGAAGGTAAGACAAAAAAGCAATTACAATTTCTTATATTTTTGCTAAGGTAAAAGCCTGCCATACCTTTGTCGCTGGTGAAAGACATATTTCAATGCTAAAAGATAAGTGTTCCAGCTGGTTCATCTGCATATTTGTCCATTGCATCTGCAATATTATCTGAACAATGGGACACGAGAAACCACTATTGAAAACGGGGAAATCCACAATTCGAGTACAGCTCTTGTTGAAGCAGCAATTTTCATCCATTATGGCTATTAGTCATATTTTCCATATCCAAAGCGACTCTGGTGTCTGATGGATAGACTATATTGGGCAAGCAAACGGGTGCGTAATGTTTGTGTGGGATTTTTCTTTTGCTCTGTAGCATTTGATACTGCGCTGGTGGCGCGCTCTTCGCCCTATGTGCCATTACACCTCTTAATTGTAGCGGCAACTGACAGAAGAAAATCATGTACCTTTACCAAAGTAGTTGGGCTTCGTGACATGAGTTATAAGTGTATCCAATAAAATAAAATTCTGTTGATGTTATCTCAAACTTTATTCTTGCACCCCATAATTGTGTCTCTTTTCTAGAGATCGCAGTAAGTCGTCGAACATATAATATTAGAATTCAGTTCACAACATTTCATATAACTTAAGCTATGTTCACAACATGTTATATAACTTAAGCTATGTTCAGAACAGTGACCATGCTTTAAAGGGCAAGGCGTAACCAGAACGACCTAGATTTATATCAGGTAAAGGAATGTCATCCAGCAGCATTCCTCAAAATTATTTGGGGAATTTGAATGCTGTTACCACAAAAACAACTTTTCCGCATATTAGAGGTGTGTCTCTGTGTGTGCAGGTATTTATCGGTAGTATTCAGAGAAAATTTTACTCTTCAAAAGAGGTCACCCTAGAGGTTTCCCCCAAGTAACACAACTTCAAGGCGCACACCACATGTATGGAGAGGCGAATCACAAAACGGAGTCCCACAATATCAATTTCTATGTTGAACTGAGCGAACGCAGTTCTCGAATCGCATACCGGCAGCACTTGGCAAGAACTTAAGGAGGCAAATTTCTTTTCTAGCTTTTAATTCTGCATAGAAGTTATTGGCCTTGCGTGGCATAAGTTCGCATAGTTTACTCCAGTCAAAGCATATTTGAGTTCCTAATTAAAAATTTTTTCAAACCAAAGGTTCAGCAATATGGTGCTATCGTTGCACATCGGCCACTCCAGGTTGTGCAGAGAAATTCAACTGGCGTGGTATAGGATTTCTTGGTGAACAATGTCCTGAAAGCAATGATATATGCGTTAAAGTAATTGAGAAGCGTGGAGGTATGTACACATGAAAATACAAAACCCTTAGCCTTGTAATGTAACAAAGTTTTATTACAGCACAAGAGACAATAACGCGTGACTGCCTGAGTGCCTTAAGTTTTCGTACGGACATACCTGCTGATAAATACGAAGGATGCCGACCAGCTGCCCAGGATGTACGTTTAGCACACTACGTCAATCACACAGTAAAGGAGCATGATGTTAAGCGTGATTACTTTAGTGATGTCACATTCTGCTTCTGTTTCCTTGATCATCGTTGCAACGGCGCTGAAACATCGGTGACCAGTTCAATAGCTCTTTTGGTAAGCGGCAGCATAGTGTTGCTGTTGGCACGAAAATTGATGTCCGAAATGAATTCAATGAGTTGAAAATCTGGTTTAGTAGCGTAAAAATGTCTAAGTACGATATGAAATAGTTTACCAGAAGTGCCTTTGCGAACTAGTTGCAGTTTCAAGAAAGTAACTGCCCAAATATTCCATAGAGCAGAATTTTAAAATTTATATTTGAAAAATATAATAATCGAATAATTAAGCAAATCGAAATATTTACTGTAACACATTCCGACCAAGTGCAAATTTTACATTTTAGAGGTGTTTTATATTGACTCGAATAATACATACATATGTAGTTAAGCTTAAAATATATGTACATATATGCAAGTCTCGTAGCCGTCCAATTGAATTAAATGAATGTATAATTTCGTAAATGTATTTATTAAGCGAAAGTGTGCCCAATCGAATAAAAAAATTATATAAATCAATTTTAAGTAAATATTTTATTATGGAAACAAGCAAAACTATTTAGGTTTATTTTGTAACTCTGAAAGTAAATTTTTTTGAAATAAAAGCTTATACTCCATCAGCAGATTCTTCAACCGGATTCTTTCTGGCCCGATAATCATAGCTTGCCACTTCGGGATGTTTCTCCTTGAAGTCTGCATATACTGTCGCCAAGCGCAAGCATTCATCCACGGACAATTGAAATGGTCTTACAGTTGGATCTACATCCGCTAACTCGAAAGACGTATCTGTCATTTCATCGCGCTCTTCCGGTGGAAATAGTGTGCTAAAACCGCGCCGACAATACTTCTGCCGCATATTGAATATGTGTCGTACTACACGTTCGACCAGCTCAAAAGGCAAATCGGTTTTTGGTTGCTTAAGTGGTATCAGCTTCACAACGCCCACATCTACTTCTGGTTTCGGCACGAATGCTTTACCAGGTATGACAAACTTTAGATACGGTTTGGTCCATATTTGCGACATAATTGACAAGCGACAACGTTGATCATTTCCGAGTGGTGCACAAATGCGCTCGGCCACTTCTTTCTGAAATGTTAGCGTCATAGCTGTGTTAAGGGATCGGAAACCACCGCGCCGCAATGACAAATCCTGTACCCAATTTATAAGTAGACGAGTGGAAATTGCAAACGGTAGGTTTCCGATCAAATGCAAACGATGTTCAGACATTGGTACATGCTTTTCTATATCAAAACGTAGTATGTCACCCTGATAGATGTCCACTTCGGTATGTAGTGGGCGCGCACATTCCTTTAGCAAGTCTAGTGTGGGCATAAAACGTGTATCTTTTTCGACGAGCACTAAACGACCAGGTTCACGTCGCAAAATTGAACGTGTAATACCACCCGGGCCGGGACCAACCTCTAAAACTGTATCACTTCTATCAATACGACCTGCAGACTTAACTATTTTATCGGTCAGACGCTCGTCCATAATAAAATTTTGACTCATGTGTTTGATTGCTTGCAACTTGTAAAGTTTGACAAGATCGCGCAGCGTGGGCATAGGCGGCAAACGAACGCCACTGGCGAGAACGCGTGCAGCAGCTTGTGGCATTTTTTAATTTAACTTCAATAAAAAAGAGAAAAACAATACTCTAAAACTACAAATTAAAGCAGAAAAGCAGCAGCACTTACCTTAAATATTTGATGTAGAATTAAAGGGACAAAGGCAATTACACAACAATAACAACCTTCTTCTTCCTCTTCCTCCTCTTTTTTCATTCAGCGTGGATGCCTTAAAACTAATATAACTTTATGTAACTACTGCGTTTATTGTTTGGACACCTTTTTAGGTTCTTCAAAATCATCCAAGAAATCTTCTTGGTGCACTGATAGCATTGAGTAGGCATAGATGCCCAATACGGATGCTCCCAAAATACCGGCCGTGATTAGGTTATTTCTTCGTAAGCGCCGCAATTTTTCTACACGCACCAAATTCTGCTGCTCAATGATTTTCATGAACTCTATTTGCGATTTATCCAATTTTGGTACCTCACCAGAGTACTTAAATTTCGGCAATTGACCATCAGGAGCAGCAGACATATTAACTTATTTTGCGTTATCAAGGTGGACACTTTTTAAGCCAATGTAATTGCGAAATTATTTTTTACAACATGAAAATTTTCTTTCTGATCTTGCTAAATTTATCGCATTTTTCACGTCCAACAGCTGATTCCGCCATATGTGAATCTGTGTGACAGGAAGTGAGGTTACTTGGACACAGGGTGATCATAAAAATGTATGTTTCGAATGCTTGAAAAACCCCTACACTTTAAACTACTATTCTAATAACTAATAGTAAATTACTAGTTATTCATTCACTTTTTAAAACTGCGCATAAAGTTTTTTTTGAATTTATTTTAGCTTACTCTAGTAAGTCTCTGTTTTACTAATTAGCGCGTGTCCGCTTCCCCCAATATTCGTCGCACTAGCTGGCAACGTTAATGATGCACTTCCGTGTTGTTGTTCTTTGAACACTTTTTCCAAACACCCAACTCCCCTTTCCTTCCGAAAGCCAACAGCAATGGAGTCCATTATGGCTGCATTGACTTTTCCTGTTCGTTGCGCTCAGTTCACTTTTGTGACTCGGCTCGTGAAGAACGTAAAGCGCTGATCAAGAAAAGCGACATTAAATTAAAAAAAAAAAAGTTGAAGAATTTCTCAATAAAATCGAAGTGTAGTATAAGTGGTTAAAAAAAAAAATAATATAAACGATTTGTTGCTGATGCGCAATTTTTATAGCCTACAGCTGTACTGCCACGAATTTATGAAGCTTACATACATACATACAGATGTATGAAGTACCTATGTAGATACATACATCTATCGAAAACGCAGAGTAAATAAAACGTATGTAAGTTGGAGCTTTTCTAAAGCAAATCGTGCATATTTAAAGTAAAGTCATGTTTTCAGCTAGTTGTTTCACCAATAAGAAAATTCAGTCTCAAGCAAAAAATAATTTAAAGTTCGCGAAAGAAATGCACGAATGCAACGCGTAAATTTACGTCGTTTCAATTATCTTTCTTTTTGGTTGAATTTTCTGTATGTACACATACATATTTAAATATGTATAAATATCTATACTCGTGCGTGTTTGGATATATGAATTCCACTTGCATTTCATTTTGTATACTTTGTGTTCTGTTGCTGCGAAAGTGCAAAGCAAAGCATAAAATGTGTAAAACACATGGGTGACAACAACAACGTACGAGAAACAGAAAACGTACGGAAAGCGTAAACGCAGAAATCAGCTGTGTACAACACAATTTCGAAATTGGCAATAACAACAAAACAGAAAAACAACAAATCGAGTGCTACGTCGCTAGTTGGAGCATTCCAATTTATTAACTTGCTGACCACTAGTATGCATGTACATATGTACATATGTATGTAAATGCATACATGCATACATACGTATTTACTTTTCACCCACCAAAGCAATTATTCGTGCTCCGAAATGTACATTTATGTACGTTTAAACAAATGTACATAGATATGCATGTATATATTACGTATGTATACGTACACAATTACGCTCTACTGTACGGCAGGTCGATTGGCCACTAATTTTATGGCACTGTATTTGTGTTCTTTGTTTTAAAATTTGCTATAATACAAAGCTTTGGGTATAATGCAAGATAGTCATAATTAACTGGTTTCTTTATTTAATTTAGTTCGTAGGTAATAACCCATTCACACTTATTGGTAGAATGGAAGATAAAACCACGAATGCATTTTCTGCCAGGTGTATGCATATCGCAAATATTCTTCAAAAAATTTATTAATCCAAAATTTTCCGTTATTCATATGAGGTAGGAACTCTTTACCATATAATTTTCAGCAAATTACATCAAAATATTTCTTCAAAATTTTTTGGAAAGTATGTAAATGGTTGGCCTATGACATTTTTATTGCATAGTAAGAAAATATTTAAATTCACAACTTTGAGTTAATACCAGACATGTTACCGATTCGGTAAGATTATCCATTTTCTAATAAAAAATTAACAAAGTTGCTTTAACTTTTAATTTGTATTAGTTAGGGATCTTTTTAAGTTCGATTCGTTTTTAATTTTTGTTTAAGGAAAGAATAAAAGGTAAAGTTGTATTCATATTTCTTTTGACATTTTTGGGGTTCATAAAAAGCAAACTTAATATACATATATGTACAAGAAATAAAAGTTTCCAAAAAAAAAAATCCCGAAAAGTTCCGGAAAACTAACCAAAGATATCAAAAAATAAAGCACGCCAAGTCCTGAAAAAACTGAAAAAAGTAGAAACCCGAAAGCCCTGAAAAAATCCTGCTTGGTCCCAAACAAATCGCAAGAAAATTCCCAAAAATTTAAGTCGAGAATTTTAATTTGATTAACAGTACAATTATAAGCAGAAAATAACAATTACAAAGTATTACTTTTCAGCTGCTTACTTATTTTGATAAATTTGTCAAGGCACCCACCGAAATTATTTATTCTTATACTATATAGTGCTTAGCATAATTATACGAAAATCACATATTGACAAGATTTGACTATTTTATTATCTTTTAATTGTAATAATTTTTTACATATATAAGTATAGTTTATTCTTTAATAAAAACCGTATAAAGCCAAGTTACATTAAAAAACAATAAGCTTTAAAAAAATTCAAACTTTTTAATTCGATTTCTTATATATAATTAATTTGGGTAAGCCCATTAAATTTGAATAAAGTGCAAGCTTGAAGTAACTGGGATTCGCCGTTGATTTTTGCCAATATTTTTTCTTAACGATGTCAGTCATTTTCTTCCATAAGTCCCAGCCAGTTTAAACTTGTAAATAGTATTTTATTTAATGAAATTTTTTTTCTCAAGGCCTTTTACCACTTTAACCACCCCGATTGCAGTGCCACCTACTGAGTCCTGTAAACTTAAACCATGTAGGCACATATAGAGAGAACCAATCCGAAGCCTCTTTTATCGCGGCCACCTCAGACTGGAAGACGCTGCAGTCATCCGGTAGCCTAAATTTTAGGTTGATGGAGAGTTCTTCGAAGACACCTTTACCCACCTTCCCATTCAGCTTCGATCCATCTGTAAATAAGCTTACAGGACCCCGATTTCAGATACCCCTCTCAATAATACAAGGCTACTGTATCCCTCTTGACTCTTTCCTCTACGTTAGGCTTCCAGGAAAGCTTACTGTCAGGAATCAAACCCAAGTACTTCACCCTGTCAGAGAGCCTTAGAGGAAGACCGCCCATTGAGGGAAGACGGCAATTCGGTATCTTATAATAACACATTGGAGCTTACACATACGCTAGTGTTTGGCCGAGCTTTCCTCTGATTTGTGGTGTGCATCTTGGTGCTGTCACACAAAGGGGAGGCACTTACAGTTTTACGTCTACTATTTTTCATGGCAGAAATACACTCGGAGGTTTACCATTGCCTGCCGAGGGCGACCGCTTTTAGAAAAAACCCTGAGTAGTGGTAGCGCGCACCGTTAACAACTACACCACAGCGACCGGAATCTTATACCTCCTAGTAAAAAGAACAAGCTCCGCTTTTCTGGGTTTTACACCCAGCTCGCTACTAGAAGCCAAGTTCTCAACCAAGCTCAGGTAACCCGGGGTGCCTCTACTCACACACCTCCGCATTGAAGCGCTACCCCATTCTGCTGCGACAGTTCTGTTGCAAAGCAGGCGGTAAATAAACCTGAAACGGTCGGCTCCGACTCCTAGCTTATTTAGGGAGTTAACTACAGCCTCAGGCAAAACATTATTAAAAGCTTCCTCGATATCAAGGAAGGCACCGACCGCGAATTCCTTCTGCGAAAAGTGCCTTTTTCAACCTCTAAATGGCCTTCGAACTTCAACTTGTGAGTATGAAAATGTCACTTACGCGATAATTCAATAACAGTAATTAAAAATTCGCTTAACGGATTTAGAAATTTTTCGATTTTCATATTTATTTGATTATTTTGAACTTATTTAAGATATCCAAATCATGAGGTTTTGGTGACTCAAAATTTGCGCTTTGCGGGAGGCCTCATTTCTGCAAGTCCATAATAAATTTTAATGCCATTCATTAAACTTTTTCTTTGCCCCTCCTGACTATCAACGGCAATTACTGAGTAATCATTGAATTGCATTAAAATCGTTTACCCACGCAAACGCTGATGAATATGATAATGATGGGTGAGTGAGTGGGCCAGGAAAAGTAGGTGAATGTGAGCAGGAGGAGATGAAGAATGCACTCGTTCAATTCACTGAGTCTATTATACAATAAATTGCTGGGCAATTTCGCAACAACAGCCTAGATAAGTGCATACTACAAACATACAAACATGGATACATACATGTGTATATGATTTGAGAATGGCACAATAATTGCAATTAAAAATTCACCATATTCAGTCATAAATAAGCGAGCAAAATAAAAATAGCACGCGTGCGTGTGGAACTGCAAAACCGTCCGAGCGAAAAAACAAACAAAGGAAATTAACACAGATTTAATTTAAATTCCAAAAAATAAAACTAAAAGTAGTTGAACACAACAAAACAGACAAACATTTATAACAAGAGCACGTAAAAAAAACTAAATGAAATTGTGGTTTTGTAATTGATTTAAAAATTTAAACGCAATCAAGCTAATTAATTAAAACAAACAGCAATAGTGACTACTGCCTACGTAAGCTGCAAGAACGGCAGCAGCAGCAGCAGCAGCAGCAAAGGGCCAACTGTGAATTGAGCAGCCACATCAGCAAGCCAACTATATAAATACATCCATACATACATAATTAATTGGAGCATCCGCAAAAAGTACTTTCTTTGAAATGCCGTTCTATTCGCAAGACTGGCGTTCGCCCGGTGAAGCTTGGGTCAAGACCGATGAGGGCTGGGTATGCAAGAAGGTGCTCGAATGCGGCAAACGAAGGAGGTGAGTTTAAGCTATTCGACTTTAAACCGTTTTAAATTAAATACAATTTTACACTCTAGAAAATCAATTGGGGTATTTTCTGAGTCTTGCACGGTGCACAGATTGCATGGTTTGCAAAGCTGTCCCATATGAAAACCGGTCTGTGCACTGTGCAAGAGCTTTGCAAGACTCAGAGAATACCCCTAATATACTCGCGAAACTAGAGGCCAAATATAGCATAACTGCGTTCTTCAAAAAAAAAAATAAAAAAAAATTATTTCAAAAATTTAGTGCAATGTAGAATAACAATATGGGTATCAAATGAAAAAGAAAATTTGGTCGAATTGAAAAATACGCAGTTTTTTGCGCATAAGAACGATAGGTGTGCTTTTAAAATTGTATCCTTGAAAATTTTCAATATTTATTTTTTAAAAAAATATATCGTCACTAGACACGAATAAAGGCGCGAGCTCAAAAGTTGACCGCGAAAAAATGCGAAGAAATGCCCTTAACATAACTGACGGCGAAGAAAGACGCGTTAAAATATTTGACGGCGAAGAAGGAGGCGTAAACTATGTTTGCGAGTGTAACAGTATGTAAATTCCCCAAAGAGATTTGTGGAATGATGCTGAAGAGACAGTCCTTGGCCAAATATAAATCTGTGATTACGCCTCTTTCATCGCCGTCAACTAGGTTACGCGCAGTGTTGCCCCAGACAAATTTTATTTCCTACCAAAACCAAGCAATACCTACCAAAAATTTGTTTAGCCCTTTCCTTGTGTTCAACCCCTTCATGTTTCGGAACGCACCGCAGAGTTACGCTATTGTTGGCTCTCAAGAAGTTCAAAAGAGTTTTACAGTTGCCTTGATGCCGTTTTAAAAGAGTCTAAGGACCGGTTACTCAATGTCTGGTTAACACTAATCTGCGGTTAAACATCTTTATCGACGTCTTCGACTCCATGCATATAACATTGCGTCGGTAACGTCGTAATAACGACGCTTTACCTGTAGTTAGTGTTAACGAGACATTGAGTAACCGGCCCTCAGTGCTTTAACCCTGCCTGACTATCCGACATATTATTTTTTCTGGCCACATTTGCTCTTCTACGAATACTTCCGCCGGAATATCGTTGGATATGTGCCCCTTGGCAGACTTTCTTGGTCCAAGAACGCCTCCAAAGTACTCCCGCCATCCATATTCGATCTGTCGGTATTGCTAAATGTGGCACCCGCGTTTACTTGCTTAGCTGTTGGCCACCAGGCCAGGGCCGCATATGTAATAACGATTGACATATGGCCAACAGTTTTTCAGACCAAGGTGATAGGGTTCTCGATCTGTGCCAGATTAAACATTGAAAATGCGCCAAGCGGCAATCTGTGCTTTATCTAAAAGCATGATCAGTTTCATGGCTTACAATCATGCAGAGGTGGTAATAGATGATTACCATTGGCCACAATGCCTATTCACCATTTTTTGATAATTTTGTTATTCAGCGGGCTTAAACAGAGTAGAGGTCAAAATTTTATATACAAACTCTTAATACTACAATACATTTCCAAGGAGCTATTAGTTAATGTACTTTACTAACTTTTTTAAGTCATAAAGTCAATTAAAATGATTAATTGACCTTTCATCACATTCCTCAATCTCGTCAGTCCCAAGTGTGTGGAAAGTAGGAAGAGACAATTATAAACTCTTCCAATGCACGTCGCTGTGAAGTGCAATTAGGAAAGAAAGTTTTTGTGATAAACGGAAATAGGTGAAGCGCAACAACAAAAAACCACATCAAGCAAGTGATGGCACGATAAAAAAAAAGTTATAGGGCACGTGCAACGGCAATTGATCACAAAATGACAACTGCTCAGTAGTTGTTAACTCAGAATGCAGCACTTAAAGTGCAGAAACAAAATTTATGAGGGCAATTGTTTGCTTAAATGTGCAACGTAATTATTTGCAACAACTTAAGCAGCTGTTCTATGGTTGTTAAGTGCTAAAATTTAATTTTCTGGCAGCTACCAAAACTTGAAAGCAAATTTTTTTACTTTGTTATTGCGGATATGCTTTATGCAGCACTCGAACCTCTGTTTACAGTTTTTTTTTGTTTTTTTTTAATGGTGGTCTATTTATTTCACAATTTGCACAAGTTTACATTCATAAATAAATAAATGATAATACATTTTATTGGTACAATCAGTATTCATGAGCCACGTTCACACCTTTCACCTTGATAACAACGAGTGGCTAATAACACCAATTAGACTTTCTGTGAGCTGATATTACCATTTCTCTTTGCTCTGATTGATAACCGTGAGAAAGAAAGCGAATGGAAATCAGAACTCGTAAATATTTATTTAAATGTGTTGACACTGCTTCTTATTAGCCGTCTTCGATTCGCCAACACTTACGAGTGGCGAAACAGTTGTAGAAAAATGAGCGATAAAAAAAAACTTCACAGTCGCTTATTGAACGAGAAATCGACATTCACAATACCATGGACAAGCGATAATCGAATAAGAGTCGTTTATCTACTACTAGTCCACACTCGCAATAGTGGTGGCAATTTGTGCCAGATTGAAAGGGTTTAAAAGGCGTCTTTCTAGCTATCTTTTCAAACAGCCTCGCGGCCATAAGGACCCAGTCCTCTGAGGCTTGTCAACGAGTGCTTTGAAACCCTCTAACTCTCCAAGGAACACGGTATTACTATGCTGTGTACCAGGACACTACGGAATCAAAGGTAACGAGTTCGCCGAGTTGGATACGGAGGCTTGTCGTCTGTACTTGTGGGGCCATAACCGTTTTCTGGACCTTCTGGTTAGTCCTCCTTCATACTCATAATCGTAGCGTTGGTAAACTCACAACGCAGTTTACTGGGGAGATCTAGGGTGCCTTGAAAAGGCCAGACTTTTTAGTTACCCTTTTGCTAGGAAAGATATAAATCTTTTGAATAGAGCCAACATCTAGTTGGCTTTTGGTTACCTGCGCTCTCACATGCATCGGATTGGCCTGTGCACATAGTAGACGTCGAGCCATTGGCCAGACTAATACTTCGATATTTCAGGTCTTCCACAGTCGCTGCCCTTAAGAACAGAAATTCGTCTACCAAGAAAATTTTAGCTTTTATTAGGCTGGCTGATAACATCTTGGTCGTCAGGCTTACGAACCATCATAGGGATACAAAAGTTATTCTAGTTCGCGGTGTTTTTTGCTCTATTGCAACTATTAAATTTACATTACATAGCAAGCATGGATGAGTAAAACAAGAATCTAAATATGAAATTTGCCAAACACCCCCAAAATCTTGATTTACCATTAAAAACCGGATTTTTCGTACTTTTGCGCACTTATAAGCCTGTAACTTAGTTGATTTTGAACCGGATGTCAGTTTATTGCCGCCCTTTAAAAGAAACTTAGGCCTTTCGAATGGTATATATGCAGTAGTCGGGTCGGACCGGGATGAACACGATGCTTCTACAATTACGGAGTGCTTATAGTAGGAAAAAAACTTGAAACTCCCTAGCCTAGCTGCGGTGTGCGCTGATTTAGGTTGCGCACATTTGGCATTACAATCTGCTGAGGTTTCGAAATAAAAGAGACTGATGCTTTGTATTTTGACGTTTTCGAATTCACCCATATTTGTAACACTTAAGACAGCAGACTGGATATTTTACGAAAGATACCGCGGATGCTAAATCTGAGTCTACAGCGATAGCAGAGTGGCTCCAAAGGCTTTGAAAACCACTCGTACGTCCTTAAAACTTCCTTAGGAAGCTAGGAAGCTAAGATTGAAATCCCTAGCCACCTGTAAAACAACGAAGTGTTTCATGAAATTGCCGTAACGTGCAAGTATAGTAGACCTAAGTTTTTCCGGCTTGCTACTAGTCCAATTCAATAAAGTTATATTAATTGGCCCGAGCCTAAGAAACTTTGTTGTTCGGCGTTTTCCTTTGCAATTATTCACACCAAGTGTAGACAAGTCCTTCCGCACTTGGTCCATCCATTGTGTTCGTCTGTGTCTTTATATTCCATGTTAACCCATGGTCATTTCAGATTATGGGTGCCGAGATGGAGGATATTTTCACCATCTATCGAAATGTACTAAATATGTATAAGCGAAGGTTCTTCGACAGAAAATAACGAACAAGTGAAGTAAAGGGAAAGCAACGGACGCAAGGTTAAAAAAACTGTTTTGTGTTTACCATTTTTTATAACACCTTGATGTTGTAGAGGTTGGCCCATCATAGGATACATAATTACATAGACTCAACTCAATAGGTCTGTTCGTAGACTGCACTAGTAACAAATAATAACAACATCTGACATTTAGCGCAAGAAAAGACATGCGTTCAGTGCAAGAAAAGTCTCACCGACCGTTTTTTCCTATCCTAGGGTACTCCAGTGCACTCAACGATCAGACATATTATCTTCATCTTTTTCTTGTAAGAAAGTCGAATAGATAGATAAAGTTCATTGGTCGTAATGATTTCCAATTAGATATTCAAACTCAATTCGACTTTCCTTGAATTGTATATCTTGCAGTGTACATTTTTACGCTGTCACAATTACTATGCAATTTTGCAAAAGTGGTTTTGTTTTCATATACATATATTTTAGTTTGCAAAACATTAACGCTTCTAAAGCTTTGGTATCTGTTTATAACTATGTACATATGTACATATGTACATTTATATGTACGTAAACTGAAGACAGTTTTCATTTTTTTCTTTCGATTCAAAAAAAATTACTTCACGCTTCTTGCACAATTTAATCAACATAAATCACTAAGAAATTACTATGTACAACATCAGCTGCTGAGTCACACTTGTTGGCGTTTACGATGGGAGCGTCGCATTTGTACATGTAGTATTTTGCATGCCAGCGGTGTTTACCTACATAGTGCTTCATTGGTTTACTTTAAAACGCTGTTATCTGGCCACATTTATTGCATCAGCTGTTTGCTGTTCACCTGTTAAAGGGCGTTCACCAAGTGCAATGCATAGATATTGGTTGTTTGCCGAAAGAGTGCTATTGTCAGAGGACTTTTTTTACGTTATGGTTATACTTCTTGAATGTTTTAAGAAAATTCATTGCGATATTTCTTAATGGTATTCCATATGATAAATTTTATTTATAAGCACTATTACAAATTATTTTTCTCCACCTGGCCTTTCTATGCTAGAGACTCTCTAGTAGAGAGGGCGTTCTCTTTCTCTGCCACGTACGACATGATCAGGCAAAAGATGCCATCCGTGTGGCAATTCAAATTCAGGCATCGCCGCGTATAGGAAACTTTATTTTGTCCTATCGAGGGCGGGATTAAAATTGAAAACAGTTGGTGAATGTTGGTTCCCTTCTCGTTGTTATTTTCCACGATTTTGCGCATGGTGAATACGTGGTCTATGTCGGATTTATCCGATATTAAGCTCGATCAGACCGTTGACGGCGACTTAAGCTCGCAGCGAAAAAGTAAGCGCATATTACGGGGCAGCCTTTCTTGTGGATTAGACAGAGCACACTTCAATTCCAGTTGTTATTCTTGAATACCTGTTGCCTGTTTTTTTTTTAAGAGTTGTGAGTAGTGATGTGCCGAGTCGAGTCGACTCGAGTTCTGACTCGAGTAT